GCTTAGTCGGTATCTATGCACATAATCAACAAAAACAAGCAGAACGCTCATCCTTTGGCTTAGTCGGGAACTATGCACATAATCAACAAAAACAAGCAGCACCATCATCCTTTGGCTTAGTCGGGAACTATGCACATAATTAACAACAACAGGCAGCAGGCTCATCCTTTGGCTTAGTCGGGAACTATGCCCATAATCAACAAAAACAAGCAGCACCATCATCCTTTGGCTTAGTCGGGAACTATGCACATAATCAACAAGAACAGGCAGCAGGCTCATCCTTTGGCTTAGTCGGGAACTACGCGCAAAATCAACAAAAACAGGCAGCACCATCATCCTTTGACTTAGTCGGTAGGTATAAAAACCAAGAATTATCACAACAACGTTCAGCATTCGAAGAAGTTGGTGCATATAAACCTCAGTCGCAGTCAAAAAGCAGCTTGTCTGAGTGCAATGTTGAAGACGTTGAAACAGTAGCATTGGTACAAGGAATGTTTCAAACACCTGATACATTGAAACCAAACAATACATTTGAAATTGGTGGATGGTGGGGCGGTTCATCGGATGCATCTGAGAATGAAGCTAATCTTCCAAAATGTGACATGAAAGAAATGGATGCTTGTCATATGTCAAGTATGGAAGGTGAAACACGAGTTTGTTATAATCAACAAAATGATATAATTGATTATGGTAAACGTATTTTAAACTCAAGTAATGTACAATTTTGGCGTCCATTAAATATGAATTTATTACCATTTCCAAATGTTTTCAATATAACAACAAGTCAAATGAATTCTATTCCAAATTGTAATAAATCAATTGTTTGTCATAATGTTGATAATGATTGTAGTGTACAAATGTGTCATGCATTACCAGGTACAAAAGCATATCAGATCGAAATTAAATATAAGAATTTAATTAATTCAGTTATTATGATTGCTGTATGTCATTATAAAACAAATGAATTTGATAAAGATGGAATTGCATTTCGTATTTTACATAAACAACCAGGTGATCCTATTTGCCATTTTTTTTCACCGCGTGATTTTGTTATGTGTGGGAAGGTTTGAATAAATGTATGTTCGGCTACTTGATTTCGTTTTTGAAAATCGAACTTTTATATACCATTTGTGTTCATAACTTATACTTCATTAATAGCTTCTATGTTTTTCTTCGATCAGTTTTGTTTTTGACCTTTTCCATAATACGTCCTTTTCTAGAATTTATGAGAAATAAAGCTCATCCTGCTAATTCACTGCATTCCTTAATTGAAAAACAAATCCTGTAAATCGTCCATAAGCCAGACAATGAACTCAAACTGAAAGTGCATGAAACGGTTTCTTCAAAATCTTTAAACTAAACACGACTCGGATAGAGCCTTTAACCCAAAATAACGAAATAACAGGCGATGGCCCATTTACACGCATTAGTTGAATCAGGACACGTGCACGCTTATCGGTGTAGTGATCGGACCCTCTATCGAAAGTAACAGCACGTTCTTCGTTTTTTAGACATGGCACAGTGGGCAACAACGTGGACAATAGGTGAAAAAGTGAAAGTGAGAGAATAGCAGTTTCGTAATTTGAATAGCAATTCATATACACCGACAAACGATATATCTCTTTGCCATTGGAAGCTTTTCTATAACTGCTATCCTTAGTGGGAAGATTTTTTTGTGCGCGGAATTAAGACAGATGTGTGCTTGTTTAAGACTTTTTGTGCCCGGTCCGGGTATAAAAGAATCTTTTGACACTTTTGTGCCCGGAGACAGATATGTGCCCGGTTTGTGTTTAAAAATGAAAATATTATAGTAATATATAATAGATTTAGTAGTAGACCATAAGTTATCCTAACAGCTATCGCTTGTGACATACGTCTATATGTTTATGTACAAGACTTGTTCATGTAGATCACACTTGAAAACAATGAAAGCATGCTATTGCTTTAATGCATGTTTATTGCACAATTACATATTTAATTCGATGCTTTTTAAGGTTTAAATAGCTCTTATCTCATTCATATGAGAATAAAGTACAGGTCTCGACATATACAGGTCTCGACATATACAGGTCTCGAATTGGTATAAACGAAGTAGAAGTGGAATAAACACTTCCTTTCATGATATTTCTTTATAAAAATAATAAAGACATAATCAACCCCGTTTTCA